TCTTGAAGATCATGTTGGCCTGATGCATTGATTTGCAGTTACCTCGGTGTCATGAAACGTGGTTGGAAAAGAAAGAAAAAAAAAAGCTTTGGCAAACCTCTGAGGTTTTTCTTACTAATTCCTTTGGTTTAAACAGCATTTTATTCTCTGAAGAGCTCAAATGCACTTTTCATTTACTGTGTATTATTTCATTTCTCAGCCAAATGTCTCTATGAAGATGGTAGGAAAGAAGTCATTATCTTGATTTTGCAGATGAACGGAATGAGCCATACTGAAATTAAGTGATTTGATTAGATTCATACATTTAGAACAGACCCAGATACCAAGATTCCTGTGACTTTGAGTCTGAATGTTTCTCTTTTGCTTTGAGATTTCAAGTGAGATAGAGAGAGAATTATTTTTTTAGGACTAAATAGTTGTGTAAGAAAAAGTTGTATAGATGTGAATTTCCACCTTTCTTGTAAGTATGCATTGCAACAAAAAGCAGAACTTTTTTTTTTTTCCTGAAGAAGAGGCACCATAGTCTATTTAGGATCCAAACTAATGTCCTTTAGACTGAACCTAGCCTACATATGTGTTTTATTTGGCCCAAGGAGTGTTTAAGAAGTATTTCAGCCAACATTTAAAACCCAGGGACTTCACATAAAAATTCATACTTCTGACTTATCTTTAAAAATGTGATGTCCTCACAGTATTGAACCTGAGTGTCCGGAGAGTTCCATTGGCTGGAAGTGGGTAGCGTGTCCCCTTGACAGTTTTAAAGGACCCAGAGTTTTATGTTTTCTCTGAGTAAGATTTGGTCTCCTTTTGCTTTTACTTTTATTTTTTCTTATGTAAAAGCATACTCCGAGAGGCAATTGAAGGGAGTTTCAAGAAGGGACCACATCTTTTTGGACAGGCTTGAGGGAAACCAACAAGGGCTGCCAAAGAGCCATTATTGCCCCTCATCCAGTGGGACAGTGCCAAGAGAAGTTACTAAGGAGGTGAGAGCAGTAGGCCTGGGAAAGGCTGCCAGCCAGGACCTGTAAAGAAACAGCCACAGTCAAGTGGCAGATGCAGACCACCTGCTCCTTCCTCGGAGTGGCCAAACTTGACCAGGAGTCAGATGGCAGGGGAACCTGGTTGAAGTGGTCTGCGGAGATGGTTCCCTCTGCACAGAGTAGGATGGAAGAAGGTGGAGAACGGATCGGAACCTGAGGTTAATGGAGAATATCCAGCACACCTTAAGCCTTAAAATTTATAGAATGCAGGTAATGGGGAAGGAGAAAGTCTGAATTGCCAAAAGTAGAACAAAATGGAAAATCATTAAATTTGTGTTCAGAGCCATCTTCCTCTACTTTCCTTTGTCATTCTGTGCCCTTCGTTCATTGCCCTAGATGGGCATGCTCCCATTTAGAGGTGGGTTTCTGCTGCAGTCTCCAAACCTCCAGACAGTTCTGTCCATTCTCCTGTATAATCTCTTTCCAAGATGAGAGCTGAGACAGCAGAGAGACTGATGCAAAAGGCATATTATAGCTTCTATGGTAAAAGGTTTGCATTTTTAGCAGAGGTTCTTCCCTAACAAAAGCTTTTGCTGCAAGTGGTAAATTTGATGCTAAGGATTGCAGGTGTTAATGCCTGTAAAGTGGAAATACCCTCAAATAACAGTCTGACAGCTTAAAGTCACTGTAATCTGGACATTTGAATCTCCGGAGGGGTATCCCTCTTCTTTGGCATAGTGGTATCGGGGTGAAGAGGATGAAGCAATAATCAGGGATGCATTGGTAGCATACTGATATGAGGCATTTGTGTTCCCTGGGGCTAAGGGATGTAATTCACAGTGTAATGGAAGGCAAGTAGGTAAGAAAAATGTGGTGATTTTTGATCATTTGATGCAGTTGGAGTTGATTGTGAATTCAGTTCATTACTGCATCAAAGACCTTTGCTAAAGAATGTAAAGTGACAGAATATCAGCTTATTATGGGATGTTTTGTGTACTGATGTGTTCAAAGGAAATAACACATCTCATGAAAAATTTCAAGGGGAAGACCTTTTCTGACACACTCAACACTACATTTCCATCCATTCAGAAGATTACTTTTGAAGATTTCTATTGAAAAATTATAATGTCTTGCAATATTTAGACGCTTTCAGCATTTTAGAGATTTTTTTTCCTTATCATCTTGCTTGACTTTTACAGTTACATGATGAACAAAAAGGGACAAGTTGTTAGCCCATTTTATAGATGAAAAAACAAGCAGGGTCTGATAACTGGTTAGGCAGTGTTTGTGAAACCAGAATTAAGGCTCAGATATCCTGAATTGTGATCCAGTTCATAGCCCACACTACTGCTTTTAGATGTTCTTATTTACTTATTTTTGAGATTTATTTATTTATTTGAGAGAGAGAAAGCAGATAGGGGGAGGAGTAGAGAGAGAGAGAGTCCCAAACTGACTCCCGTGCTAAGCGCGGAGCCCAGAGTGGGGCTCGATCTTACGACCCTGAGATCATAACCTGAGCCAAAACTCAGAGTCAGTTGCCTAACTGACTGCACCACCCAGGCGCCCCTAGATTTTATTTGAAACAAAAGAGAAATGTGTTATAGCTGATGAATTAAAAAAAAAAAAAAAATCAGAGTTAATGTATAAACTGAAGGATGTAATGAGTCTAGGGGAAATATTGAAAACATTACCAGTTATATTTCCAAGGCTGAATGTAGCCCTGCCCAAAGATAAGGAAATTTGATTTTCCATAGCTTCTTTAATTCTATGATATATTGATTGACTGATTGACTGATTGATTGATCGTAGGTCCTATGATATACTGACAAGTCATTTAAAAAGCTTTTATTGAATAATTGTTTTATACTAGAGACAGGACTAAGGCTGTGCCAGGCTGATGTTTAAATAGCTACCACTTACTGCATGTTTATAATAATATTTTGCATTCTCTGCATCAGTGATTTGTGTAAAGTACTATTATTATAATACCCATTTTAAGCTGGATGACATAGACTTAGTGGGCTTTTTTTCCAAGGTCATCCTGTATGGCTTAGAAGTGGCAGAGCCAGGACTCACCGGGACTCAAACTCAGAAGTATCTGAGTCCCAGCCCCAAGCCCCTAACTGCCACCCTGTGTTCCCTTTGAGTCTCTCATACACTTTCTGCACCCTGTGTCAGTTCAGGGTGCTATAACAAAGTACCATAGCAGAGTGGCTTATAAACAACAGAAATTTATTCCCTATAGTTCTGGAGACTGGAAGTCTGAGACCAGGGTGCCAGCATGGTCTTCTTGTGAGGACCTTCTTCCGGGCTGACTTCTCTCTGTATCTGCCCCACAAGAATGGCAGGAACACAAGAGAGCTCTCTGGATCTTTTATCAGGGAATTAATCCCACTCATGAGGGCTTCACCTCATGAACTAATTACCTACCAGAGGCCATAGTTCCAAATATCATCACATTGGAATTTGGGTCTCAACATATGAATTTTGGGGGAAGCTCAAACATTTAGTCCTTTGCATGTCCTTTCTCTTCTCTCTTGGACTCCATTCCCCAGGTGTGCAGTGTCCATCGGTGCCCCCCTGAGGAGCAGGATTCTCTCGCTATAGTCTTCATCAAGAGCTAGCACCCGTCTCTGTTGTTTATCCAAATTTACCTGTTCTGTGTTACACTATCTCAGTTAAACATGTGGAAAAATAGATACAAAGGATTCCTCTTAAGGTATTTCCCGAAAATGCATACTTATCCCAGGAATGGCAGCATTTAAAAAGACTATTTAAAAGCTTTAATGCAAATAATTCATTGTGAGGGACTTCCATGTGGGAGATACATTGGGAGAGGAGGACATTTGTGTTCTCTCCAAAATTTTGTCATGAAAGCATTTGATGCCTGATTCTTTCTATAACAGTCCCTGGACACCAGTATATGTAAAATTCAACCTTTACCCTCCCCAAAGTTTGCTTGCCCTTATTACCATTTCTTGTTTCTTGGCAGAAATGTTTCTGTTGCTCTGTCATATCAATATGCATGGATTTCCCTCACGTCTGGATGTTATATATAACCAATTGCATTACACGGTTGGCATTTCCACAAAGGTGTGAGTATCTGCCACTCCAGATTAATATAGAAATCGTTGGCAATGGCAGATGTCATATACCAGCCTGACTGTTCTTGAAAATGACACCTATCAATATGATGGCACTATCTTTATTAACAGCTGTCAATTAAGATAAGGATTTGAAGGAAAAAAAAAATTCAGTGCTATTCTAGGCATGGTCAATGTATTTGGGATTTTGAGAGGTAGTTGGTGTTTTGGTTTGGAGTGTTTAGAAGCAAATGCTATTATTATCTTTTAATGTGCAAAATATAAGTAGCATTCTCAGATGCTGAGGAATTCCAACTCCTTTTTCTATAATAGAGGCAAAAATGTTTGCTTTCTGCTTTGGCTAGACAGCCAGTCCCATTTCTTTGGACTTGATGGAATGGATTTGCTATAGGACTTTTGTCTGACCCACGTCTCCTTCTCTAGAGCACAGTACTTGGCGGCTTCTCAAGAAATACATCTGTTTTTGTGTTATAAATCCAGAGACTTTCTAAACTTGTTCTGTAAAATGCATCTGATGACTTAATGGAGAATTCATTTATTAGATTAAAATATTTAAGGCATTGTACAATGGCAAGAAATTGAAAACATTGCCCACAGTGGTAAGCAAACAAACAAAAATAATAACAATTTTAACATCTATAGAGTACATCAGAATGAATAATAGGCTCTTTGGATTATTTACTATTGTTCACTAATTTGAGATGTATACTATTTTCCATAAAGGAGATCTGAGTGAATGAATAAAAATAGAAAGCCCAAATAAAGATGTTTAAGTGTGACCTTGATTCCATTTTGCTTTGTAATCTCTAGCAATTAATTCTCAGTGGGGCTAGATTTCTCAACAGACCACTTTTTCCATGTATAGAAGCTTCTGCATGAAATTGATTTGGGCTGAATTTTTTCACACAGTTGACTTGCTTGAAATAATACTAAAGGACCACCATTGAGCAATTTGGATACAACTAATGTGTGCTTTTGTAAATCAGGTTCAAATAAACTGGATTTGACCTTAACCACTAACCCCTCAAAAAAGGCTGGCAGTCATCACAGTGAATGCCATCCAATTATGTATAAAAATTGATATGAGTCCTCTCTTCCTGTGGAGATGGCAGCCATCACCTACTTGGCATCATGGCTACTCTCAGACCTCTGATGAAGCCCAAGATCATTAAAAAAGGACCAAGAGGGGCACCTGGGTGGCTCAGGTCCTTGGATCGAGCCCCGACTCAGGCTCCCTGCTCAGTGGGGAGGGGAGTATGCTTCTCTCTTTCTCTCTCCCTCTACCCCCTACTCGTTCTCTCTCTCTCTCTTTTTCTCTCTACCTCTCAATTAAATAAATAAAATCTTTAAAAAAATAAAAATAAGAAATAAAAAAGGACCAAGAAATTCATCCAGCACCCGTCAGACCGATACGTCAAAATTAAGAGCGACTGGTGGAAGCCCAAAGACACTGACAATAGGGTGCGCAGAAGATTCAAGGGCCAGATCTTGATGCTCAGCATTGGTTATGGGAGCAACAAGAAAACAAAGCATGTGCTGCCCAGTGGCTTCTGGAAGTTCCTAGTCCACACTGCCAAGGAGCTTGAAGGGCTGCTGAGGTGCAACAGATCCTACCGAGCAGAGATTGCTCACAATGTCTCCTCCAAGAACCACAGACCCATTGTGGAAAGAGCAGCCCAGCTGGCCAACGGAGTCACCAATCCCAATGCCAGGCTGTGCAGCAAAGAAAATGAATAGTTGGATAGTTTATGTGCACATTGTAGTTGTGTTAATAAAATCAGAAAACTAAAAAAAAAAAAAAAAAAAAAAAAGGATAGGAGTTGTTTGAATTGGAAATTGACTTCTATACCCAAAACCTGCTTTTGAAAACTTGGTTACTACCTCTGTTTTCCTGTTTCACCAGCTGTAAACGGAGGATAGAAACAGTTACCACTGCCTCCCAGTGGCAGCTGGAGGATTAATGAGCTAATATTTGTAAAATGCTTTGAAGACAAAAGTGCCAGCTATTATTATTACTAATAAACCATTTTTCTCCAGTGTAATGTTGGACAGCGGCCATTAAAAACTCATTACTGTATTTAACAGTAAAACAATCTGCTACAGCCTTGTATTTACTGCCTCAATTAAGCATGCATTCCACTTCCTTTGCCCCTCGAAATTCAGAGCTGATGAGGAGGGACAAAAAGGTGTGTGTCATCATTTCCCAAGTTCATTTAAATAATGGGGTTAACAGACTGGATGCTTAGAGTGGAGAGTAGTTGGATTGTTTCTACTGAAAACTAGACTGTGTCCTTAATGGGAGGCTAATTTGGCTACACATTTGCTTCTGTGCTCTATGAAGGGAATGGAATGCCCAGTTCTAGGTTTTTATTCAACTGGATTTACTTCACATCTACTGCTGTTGAAGATTGTATTCCAGTGTCTTGGTGGTTCAGACTGGTTCCATGAATGACACAGTTTATGTGGGCGGTTGTATGGTGTGTGTGTGCATGGTGGAGCAGGGGTGGGTGTGCTCTATTTAGAACTCATGCCAAACATGAAGTAGAAAACTGAAGTAATTATTTCAGCTGCTTCCAGTCCACAAATATTAAAAAATAAAACTGGAGGTCTTGAATTATACAGAGTAGTTCATTAATCTGTAATTGATGTGTTGCATTAAATCCCTTCGATACAAATTTATTTGGATCTACGTGAATGTTCTTAAATACTGCATGATACAGGTAGTGGAAGCATTTCTCACCTATTGCCAGAACAATGCTCATTTTCCCCATGCTGTTTTACTACTGCAAATAAGAGTAAAAGATATAAAATAAATCAATGACTGTAATCACAACAAGTAAATCTGAAGTCTATTCACTAGCTACCTCCAGTCTCTAAATCCTAAACCAATATCTAAAGGTTGAACAAAAGAGGCCTCATAGCAGCATAAATTCACTGAATTCACTGCTAGCATTTTGGTATGGAAAGACCTTCCTCACTCAGTGACTACTCACTCTTAATTTAGAACCATTCTAATAAGCATAACTGTTTTATTTTAGTGGATGACAGAGTATAAACTGCAAGTTAGAACAGATGATGGAAATTTTGCAGATTCGTTCACAGACAAAAGAAATTATAGTTAGCATCTCTTCAGCAAGGGAGGAGTATGGAAAGGCTAGAAAGAGGCAACTCAGAAATCATCATGGCCTTATGAGTGGTCCCTGAGTCATTAAGAAATTATGAAATAGTTTAAACTAAAAAAAAAAAAAAAATTGACATATCACCTATATGAGTATAGATCATTAATCTGAAAATCAAGTGAAATCATCTTTGCTAGTGATCTACCTGTTTTAAGAATGTTACATGCAAATACAAAACAGCAGTATTAAAATTCCCCAAACCTTTTACAAGATGTCCTTCTAATAGCAATGCACTAATAACTATCCAAGGTACTATTGTTTGCAGATGAGATTTTGCACTGCAAGTGTATCACAGTATATTTTTTTATTACTATCAGTTAAGGAGGCCATGCCTTGTAAATACTATCACCATTCCATTGACTTCTGAAATGGAGCTCATGCTATTTTCATCATTTATTTTGTTGAATTGTGCATGGGGAATTCACCATATGGCTTTAAACTGTTTAAGACCTCAGTAGGAATGTGTTTTGCATATCAGATTCTTGGGGGAAATACACAAGTTGCTTATCATTTGGAAGAAAAGTACCTGGAGACTTATGTGTAGTGAAGAGGGGAAATGATGAAAAATTAATTTTAATTGTGACTATGTAGCAATTTATGTAAAATGTGAAGGGGTACTGTTCGGTTACCTATTGCCACATTACTAACCCATAACTGAAACAACAACCATTTTATGAAATCTCATGCTTTTGTGTGTCAGGGACTCAGGCAGGGCTAAGATGCGTGATTTCTTCAGCCCCACCTGGTGACAGCTGGGGTGACATGGTAGGTTCAGATGGTGGCCGGGTTGGCTAGTGGCCCCAGGATAGCTTCACTTGCATGTATGGTGCTGTACACGTGCAAGGGGGCGCTGAACTCAGCTGTGCCCCTCTTTGGCCTCTGGTTATTTTCATGTAGCACATGGTCTCTCCATGTAGGTCAATGGAGACCTCTCAAGTAGGTCATTGGACTTCTTACGTGATGGCTCAGTGGTCCAAGAGTCCAGTTTAGAAGATCATCAGTTCTGGTAAAGACTGGGCCTGGAACAGGTTCAGCATCCCTTCCACTCTGGTCCAAACCATAAAACACCAGTCCATATGCAAAGGGAGCACTCATGCAGCTACCCTGCTGTGCTGGAGGGTTCTACCAGACAGGGTAGGAAGAACTTGAAAGACATGCTAATCAAGAGAATTATTATACCCCCCCTTGATACCATTTACTCACTCCATGACTGATTACAAAGTGGAAGAAAACTTGGAAGACGTAGAAGAACCCTGTGCCCCAAAGGGACTCCTTTCCCTTCCTCCTTCCTAGATCTCTTATGCCCAGGAGCACACACGACTTAGAGAAGGGAGTGTGACAGGAGAGTGAACTTTGGCTAGCCAGAGGCACCCATGTCTGGAGAGGGAGGCTAGATGTGAGAGGATGGGCAGCTGAGGACACTCAGGCTGAGATGCCTTAGCAGGATGGGCTTTGCTGATGCTCTGTACCTCCCAGCCATTTGCATTTATCCTTACTCTTCCATTTAGCTCGGAAGTGGCTTGGCCTTGGCAGCACTAGGACTCCCCCAGTGAAACTCAAATGCCTGGAAACATGGAGTTGACCACTCAGATCGCACAGGCACTGGGCTTGAGGAGGGACGGAAAAGAGCCTCTCCGTGTCCTTCTGTTTATCTTTTACAGCCACAAACGAGAAAGGAGGCAGGCTTCTTGCACCGAAATGATAATTGTGCATTTGGCTTCCATCTTTCTTTACCTGTAACTTTCAGAAACAGGATTGTAACGGAAAGGGGATTCATGGGTGGTGAGTACCAACATCATTCTCATATCTTCTTGCAGCGCTGTGCGAGCGCAGAGCAAGAAGCAGGTCAAGAATGTACAGCAAGGGAGCTGTCTTGGGCTGTTTCTTTTCTCTTCAAATGCTCCCTGATAATGGATGAAGAATAACCGCCGCCATGTCTAATATGGGTTCAGTTTGTGTTCTCATCGCCTCTACTTCTGTATTTCCTCACACCTTCCCATCATCTTCTTCCTTCTGTGGCATGCCGATTTTTCTCTCAGTGCTTGGGAGCCACGCATGCTATCATTCTCATACCTCTGTTACATTATCCCACTCTTCTGATAAACACGGATGTTTTTCTCCTGCAGTCTTGCCAAAAGCATGTTCGGAGTATTGCACTATATTTTTCATATCTCAGAAACTAATTCAGCAGGTAAAATGCAATATATGTAACCCTAAAATGCTCTGTTATGGTGAATTTAATTCTATAATGGTAATGCTGGAAATTGCCTTTAAGTAAGGGACACAAACATATATCATTTAATGGGATTCTTATAAAAATTAGGTGTTAAATAAATGAATACATAAATAAAAACAAGGTAGGTATTAATCCTATTCAGAGAGGTTAAGGGAACTCCTGGCACCATTTCTGTAAGAGGGGAACTGGAAATCAGGTTGTCTGATTTTGTCTTAAGTCATTTTCACGACAAACCACTTAGCTGTTGATAAAATGTCCCCTTGTTCAGAAAACTTAGTGTTTTCTGGACAGGTTCATTTTTAGATGATACAACCTATAAAGCCGTATTAAAAAGTCTTGGGACTGTTGAAACACAAGCAATGCTCGGATTTTTTCCTGTGGTTTCGTTTGTTATAGCAAAATACATTTTTACTACAGCAGAGAGCACCTTCTGGCCAGTCTTGCTTTAGCACTTGTCCATCTTCTGTCCTCTGCATCCTTTCTCTACTCTTACATGACCACAAAGCCTGCTTCAACTTTCTCTTTGACACACGAGATTTATTTCTCATGAGCCATTCTGGATAATTCCATGTTCAGTCTTTTAATCACTAGACCACTGTAACCTTCCCCTCGCTGGATTTCTGCCCTTTGTCATCATTCTTCTCCACGAAGGTCTAAATGTCCCTGAGAAAATCCCCCTTTCTCGCTTGTCACTTTGACCATGATGTCACTTACTTCCCGAAAATTTCCCCTGGCTCCCCACTGCTTTGCAGGCCAAGTAACTGTCACACTTGGTTTCCACATTCAGCCGGATTCAGCCTTCATTATTTCCTTCTACTTTCCTGTATCCTTAGAGACCCTCTCCTTTTACCCAACAGCTCGCTGTTCCAGCCTTTTTAGAGCTCCTGTCTTCTCAGACACTTTCTTTTTTTAAATTTTTTTTAAAGATTTTATTTAATTTATTTGACAGAGAGAGACAGGGCAAGAGAGGGAACACAAGCAGGGGGAGTGGGAGAGGGAGAAGCAGGCTACCTGCTGAGCAGGGAGCCCGATGCGGGGCTTGATCCCAGGACCCTGGGACCATGACCGGAGCCGAAGGCAGATGCTTAATGACTGAGCCACACAGGCACCCCTCCTGCTGTTCTTTCTTCTTAAAATAACTGGTCACTCGATCATCTATTCTCTAAGACTCCCCCAAATACACCGTCTTCATTATTTTTGTCATAAGGTACTTAACATTTTCAACAGCACATTAAAAGAAAGAAGTGTTGCTTTAAAACTGAGGTTTTATTTCATTACTGTAAATGAAACACCAGTGTAGTGGGAAACAATGAAAGGTAATTACAAATGTTAACACAATGAAAA